CAACTTTCTCAAGCCTTGTTCACCGGCTTTAAACGTGCACTGAGATTCTTTCACATCACTTATTCTGAAAGAAAGGGACCAATCAACATGAATGGTGGTCCTGGCTGCTTTCTCTCTCCGTGAAGTGGCAGAGCCACAGTCATAGGACAGAGTGGCCCTCAGCCATCTTCAACCGTGCCCTACCTGGGTGCCCAGAACCCCAGGCATCAGAGCATAATGGGCTCCTTGAGAGGGTTCTGGCATTTCAAAATGCCTAAAGAAGTTGTATCATCACTAAGAGAAATTGGAAACCACAACAAAAGTTGCCAAGTCTCTTTGCCTTCAGCTGGAAATTTATTAGCTTGGTACTGGATCAGCACTGCCCGTCTCCCACTCACTAATGATGGTTTATCTTGAATTAATTGAAAACAGGAAAATAAGTAATGGTTTCATACATGTGGTTGGTAAAAAGTGTAAGATATGTTTAAATTTGAGGCTCGGGTAAAAAGTAAATAAAGTAGTCCTTTCAGGTTAAAATACCAGGCCCACTTCCCTGCTACCCTACTGGCCTTTGAGGTATGGACCAACGAGGCTGCTGTCAAAGAGAAGTGCCCTTCATACCAAGCCAACTCATCAGATATTGGGAGAAGAAATAGTTTATTCGCCTATACTAGTGAACAGCAAATAGTTATTTTCTGGAAAGGAATTCAAAGTGCCTTTTATCTGTTTCAGCTCAAAAACTTTCAAAATCTTTTGAAGTTAAATATGGAGTGAAAAAACCCTATTAATTTCAAAACCTCCTGCAAGTCTACTGTATGAAGCCCAAATTCCTTGGCCTTTTTTATTCTTTTGTTTTTTTTTTTGGTTTTGTTTTATATCTCCCAATTCCATCCAATCTCCATAGAATTCCTACTGGCAGCTGACCAGGTCTTCTCATCAAACTGAGACCATATTTTGAACGTTCACTTGTTCATCAAACACATATTTACCAAAAGCTTGTTATGGGCCAGGCATCATGCCAAGCACTGGAGACATAGAGACAGATATGGCTGCTACCACCGTGTTGCTGGAGAAATCTGTAACAAAAGCATCAAATCTGCACGTTGTTTTGTGTGTGGAGCAGAGGGGGTGTATGTGTGTGGGGGGGTGACTTTCTAAAGAGTGGCATTGAAACTGGGATCTATAGGATACAGAGGAATTATCTAAGTAAAGGGGAGACAGCACTCTGAGTTGAGTGTTACATACGATGTACCACATGCAAGGACCCTGAGTGTGCTAATTCCCTCCAATCTTCTCTCCTGGACCTCTTGCCCTACAATCTCTACCAAAACCCTTAAAAACAGGTTCAATTCTTATCTCTTCTTGATTACCATAACTAAAAAGTATCTCATCCTCAAGGGAACTACAGGATTTTTTTAACATTTACAGGCCACTAATATATTACCACTTAATAGGGAAGGCCATTAACATACTTGTTCTAAAGAGTTATATTACCAGTTCTTAGACAGCAGAAATCCTTGCAATCCTTGGAAAATCTTTACACATGGTAGGAATTCAAAGAGTAGTTGTTTTGAGTTATCTTTCCTTATATTTTTCATAATCTCTAGCCTTAAATCTAGCTGACACTCAGATATTTCTGTGAGTGAACTAGAAAGAATGAAAAATTTTCAAAAGTCCAAAGAAGAGTAATAATTCTCAAGAATCATGAAGGGTCTTACCCTATTTGCAAGCTATCAAGTTATCCTGTCATGACTGCCTGTGAAGGAGCTAAGGAAATTTCATCCCATAATACGACTATCTGGTAAAAAGAATATTTTGAATTGAAGGCCATTCAAGGTCAAGAAACACTGGAGGCCTTCCTTCTCTCTGTGTAAACTGGACTGGCCTGATCGGAGGATCAAAGGAGACAATTGATTTCCCTTTCCCCTTCCTATTATCATAAAATATTGCAAAAATGAGAGTCGGGAATGTAGGTGGATCTGGCCCAATCATTTGGTCATAATCCTCTTTCCCAGGTTAATCTACACATCTCCCCAATCCATTCCATCCTCCTTAGCTACCCTCCCTACAACTATACTCCTCAGTTTCTCCCTCTCCCCTCTAAAAGGCCTGTATAAAGACATCTGAACTCCTTTGGAAAACTGGGTTATCACTCTGTGATTTCTCCCTGTGTATAGCCTCTCCCTGTGTACAAGCCTTTCTCTTATTAATGTGCCTTAATTGTGAGGTGATCTTCCAGTGAACTTCCGAGGGAAAGGGCAAGCTCCCCTCACCCTTCCACAGGGATACTGGTAGAAGAAAGATACTCCTTGACCAGAAACAAAGGATGCAATTACAGATAATGCAGCAAAAAGCGTAAGTACCAGCATATACATGTTAGTTCCCTTGGCCCCAGTCCCGTGGGGGTGATGCAGACGGGGTGTCAGGTGGATGTTTCAGCATGTGCCTCTGGTTGCATTACAGAGAGGAACTCTGAACTAGGAGAACTCAAATATTTTATAACAGGCAGTAAGCAAGAGGTTTTTTGTCCCAAAGGGAAACACTATACTTCCCAAGGTTGTTCATTATACAAACTGCCTTACAAAAGAGAGTCCATAACAAAATGCAGAGAGACCTCTGCGTGAAAGACATGCAGAAAGATGGGAGACTCCTAGAGAATTATCCCACAACATTGAGTAAACAGGCATTATTATAACCATAGTTATTGTTGTTGCTTATTGAGTGCTTCTATGTGCTAGGTCCTTGGCGAGAATTTTATATACATTATCTCTTATTCCTCTAAACAAACTTATGAGAAAATATTAAGAAATGTATGGGGAAATAGTTTGGTAAGTTAAGACCTTCTGTACAAATAACAGCAACAGTGGAGAATTTGAAAATAGACAGGTGCATTAGAGAGGTCTCAGAGAGGAGCTATGAATATTAGCTGAAAACCACTGGACTCTGACTGCACCTGCTATCCCTGCTTCTCCTTCACTGAACTTCTCTGGTCCATTGGGTAGAATATGGTTGCTCCCAGCTCTTGAGCTCACTTGCTATAGATCCAGCCAGCCTCAGAAGACGAACTGCCAGTTCCACAAAAGAGTACATGATTGGCCCAACTTTGGTCAAATGAACAATCAAAAATGTGTATGTCTGTTGGGGAGAGAGCTTTACAGTAATATAAACACTAACATGTAGTAACAAAGAGACCCATTTTTTCCATAATCATTACTTTTTTTTTTTTTTTTGAGACAGAGCCTCAAGCTGTCCCCTGGGGAGAGTACTGTGGCATCACAGTTCACAGCAACCTCCAACTCCTGGGCTCAAGAGAGTCTCCTGCCTCAGCCTCCCAAGTAGCTGGGACCACAGGCGCCCACCACAACACCCGGCTATTTTTTGGTTGCAGCCATCATTGTTGTTTGGCGGCCCAGAATGAATTCGAACCCGCCACCTTGGGTGTACGTGGCTGGCACCTTTGCCACTTGAGCCACAGGTGCTGAGCCCCATAATCATTATTTAAGGTAAATAAAAACATCATGGTACTGTTTACTGGTCTGTTTCTCTCACTATCCTCTGTGCTACTCCAGAGAAGGGATCATATCATCTAACAGAATTACAATCATATTTATATATTATATATATATTATATGTATATATAATGAAACTAAGAATTTTCCTATCTCTAAGATTATTCTTAAAAATACTTAATGCTAGCATAGTATTCCAACTTGGGATATTTGTGCAACTTTTTGTTTATTTGTTTTGAGACAGACTCTCACTCTGTCATAGCTCACTGCAACCTCAAATTTCTGGGCTCGCATGATCCTCTTGCCTGAGCTTCCCGTCAACAGGTTATGAAGTCACTTTTGAATATTTAGATTATTTCTAATTTTTCACCAGGATAAGTAATATTGCAATAGCCATCAGTTTTCAAATTCTCAGCTACAGATGTGCTTATTTTCTTAAGAAATAGATTCTTAGAAGGGAAACTCTGGCTATTCACTTTCTAGAGCTTCATATATACTATTAAATTTCTTTCCAAATATATTGTTCTAATTTACACTTCTGCCAGTAGCATAAGTAATCTATCTAATTGCATATTCACAAGAGTTGAGAATTATTTTTCCAAAAAAAAAAAAAACTAGGTAAAAGTGGTTTTGGTTTTTGTTTTTTAGTGGTGAGATTAAACTTTTTTCCAATTTTTAAAATAGTAGTTTATATTTCCTCTCCATGAATTTTCGGTTATAAAGCCCTAGCTGGAGGCCATCAATTTTGTTCTTTTATGTGCCTCAATGCTTAGAATGGTGCTTGTTACATAGATGATTCTCACAAAGCTTTGGCAGTTTTTGGCCGGGTCTGGGTTTGAATCCGCCACCTCCAGTACATGGGGCGGCGCCCTACTCCTTTGAGCCACAGGCGCTGCCCTCTCACAAACTTTTGAAGCCGGGAGGTAACTGTTTTGATTCTTGTGGGAATTAAGTCTCTACAGCCTAACGACCGTGCACCATTTTAGAATTTACATAGATAGTCGTGTATACTAACGTACTTGAACACCACACAACTACTGAGCGTTATTACTTTCAGCATTTTACCATGCGAAGCAAAGTCCCGAACACTGAGGCCTGAGAACGATAAATGGTGAAAATTTGGTCCACGGAGGAATTCAGTTCCCAAAGAAATAAAGAAAGAAACCTGCTAAAATTAGTCGGTCCTCCCGGGCACCAGAGGGCGAAGCAGCAGGATGCGACGTGCCATGAATGAGCGGCTCGCTGGACTCCATTTCCCAGAAGGCTTCGTCCGCCTCTACGTTACGCGCGATCTTCCAGATCGCTCAGCGGCAGGGACTTCAAGCCCCAGGTTGCTGTGCGGCAGGACAGTCCCCTGCCTTCCACTGACCCGAACATGTGACAGCCGCTGGCTAGCTAGAGGGGGTCGGCTGTCGGAGTGCACCTCGTTGCCAGGATATGGGTGCCGAAAGGTTCTTCGACAAGATTCCACTCACTTAGTCGGTAATGGTCTTCACAGGTTGGGAAGGGGCGGTAGGAGAAGCAGAGAAGCTCTGAACCACGCTAGTGAGCTGTGATGAGGCCCAGTTTTCCGGGGACGCGGTGGGCGCCTGTGCTGGGGGTGTGGCCTGTGACAGACCGAAACTACATTTCCCGGCATGCCTGTGGTGCCAGAACTACCTCTCCCGAAAGCCTGAGCGAGGCTCATCCGGTCTTCCGCCGCCTCCCGCCCACCGGAACACACTGAGGACATGAGGAGTCGCTGGGCCTGGCGGCTCCTGGACTCCAAAGGCAACCGGGGCTGCTGGGTTTCAACCCCCCGTCGGCCTTCCTCGCCGGTCCTGCGGAGAGGTGAGACGAGGCATCGTGTTAACGTTGCCCGAGTGCGCTGTAGGGATACGATTCCCGTGGGTCGTGCCTGCTCGGTGAACCCGAGACAGAAAGTGCCACGCCCTCCTCAGCCCACGCCAGACGCTGGCGATTCCCGTGCCCCACCTTCCCCAGCTCGCCGCCCAGGGGAGGACTGAAAAGAGGACCGTCTTTGGGCGAGATTCTGAAGGCCTGGGCGTCTCCCCCAGCTTCTTTCTGAGTCCTTGTTTCCTTTCTGTGACATCAGGTCTCTCAAGAGCAAAGGTGGAGTAATCTCTGTTTGGGAGTGTCCTGATTTCTTTTGTGGCCTGTTCAAATTTATACGTATTTAGGTTCTGGCCTCGAGCCCATGTCAGGACTGCTTTATTCTTGTATTTCTCGGTACAGTACCTTGCAATAACATAGTAGGCATTCCAAAAAAGAAAAAACAGTGAATAGTGGAGTCTGTAAGTTGGCACCCCTGAAGAAGAACATCTGACTTTATTCTGAAAAACGTTTCAACAGTTGGGTTGTTTTGTTTTTCCCAGTTTTAAACTCTACATTTGTCCACCTTGTACCCACCTCCTCGTACTTAGTATTCTCCGTTTACGTTCTTAAATCCTCATTGCCAGGTAAACTGAGCCATTCAGTACCCAAACACATCTGCCCACGTTCTTGTTTGTGCTTCAAAGTTTCATTTTATTGCTCATTGTTTATTCACACCAGTGACAGATGCACTCAAAACTATAGTTTATCTATTGTGTGTGAGACTGCCTTAGCTGGCAGGGTCATTCACAAGGTCTGATTACATATTTGGGTGTGTAACATACATACACATTATGATAGACTTTACAAAAAGGAGTAGCATTTTTTGAATCCTTGAAAATCATCCAAATCTTGTCTTTGTTAACTTTTTAGAGATATCCTTTGTTCATGTACTCAAGCGAAAACATAATCATTTTTACAGAATGAACTTTTAAGTACCCATCATACTGGAAAATACATAAGGGTTAATGTTTTAACATAATTGAATGATCCCACTTGAGTCAGAGTGTTCTTGGAGAAACTTAAGATTTGTGTCCCTGCTCACTAAAATATATTTTTTGAATGTTTACTGTGTCCAAATAGTTTAAGTTTCCTTAATAACATCAATAATCATGGAATTGAAACCTTCCAACCACTGATCCATGGAAGGACCTTAGTTGTCATTTGGCAGTTCTCTTTAGAAATAAATAAGCAAATGCACAGGAAGGTAATGGGATTTTTCTTAGTTTTATGCCTAATTTGTGCAAGATTCCTAGTTCATTTCTACAGACTTAGCAAAACATCAGAAACATTAATGTAGAAATGCTTTTTTTTTTTAAATTTTTTTGTTTGTTTAGCGGGCTCGGGCCAGGATCGAACCCACCAGCATGTGGCCGGTGCCCTAACAACTGAGCTACCGGCACCCAGATGAAATATTTTTAAAAATAGAGATTCTCAGGCTCTATTCAAGAACTACTGAGTCTCTCTAGGGGTGGAGCCAGGGATCTCTGTCACAGTTTATTATTAATTATTAATCCTGGTAATTATGATGTAACTATAGCACAGATTAATAGGCCAGTATTTAAGAATATATGCTGGCTTGGCGCCTGTGGCTCAAGCGGCTAAGGTGCCAGCCACATACACCTAAGGTGGCGGGTTCGAATCCAGCCTGGACCCACCAAACAACAATAATGGCTGCAACCAAAAAATAGCCAGGCGTTGTGG